CCCCCCCCCCCCCCAATAGATTAATCCACATCACTGTCACCTAAATTCAGAGAGCCTAGTTCAGTCTCACACAGGTTCCCCATGTCAGTCCAGAGTCAACGAGCTCCCACTAGCTCGGGTCAGCTGTCCCTGCGATTTTTCCAATCATGGTCTTGCCTCCCCCCCTTGCTCATATGACCCCTGTGGTGTCTTGACCAGCCAGCTTTATACTGGGGCTTCCCTCCATGGGCAGCTAGGGCAGTTCACAGATGTCAGGGGCTCTCTGCCCCAGGTTCTCTGGCTCGCTATCAAGGGTGCAATCATATAAAGGCTGTTGGAAGTGAGGTGGGGGGTGGGAGACCAGAACCGCCTTGTCCCCTCTGAACACTTCACCCTGCTTCTGTGCTCAGACCCCCAATGTGAAGCAGGCTGAGGGCTCAGGCAGGCAGGTGTCAGGTTCCAATGTTTCCTCCCGTTTACAGACAGAGCTTTCTGGTCCCTTCCTGGAGGTCACTGTGTGGGACTGGAAGGTCTAGATGGAGGCTGGAGGTAACCCACCTCCAGAGATGAGCTGGGAAGAAAGGATGTGTTGGGAAAGAACTCCAAACAAAAGTTCCTGGCTCAGCTGGCAGGCAGAGTGCTTGCCCAGCACACACAAAGCCCTGGATTTCATCTCTGACTTCACACAAACTAGGCATGGTGGCACAGACCTGAAATTCCAGCACTCGGGAGGTGGAGGTGGAGGATCAACTCTTCACGATCCTACGGCGACCTGGAGGCTGGCTGGGCTGCATAGACCTTGTCTCAAAGCAGAAACAAAATAGAAACCCACAAGCATCCTTAAAAAGTGCGGAGTGTGCTGGAGGAATGACTCAGGCGTCTATAGCACTGACTGCTTCTGGAGAGGACTCGGGCTCAGTTCCCAGACACAGAAGCAGCTCAGGACCACCTGTAACTTCCGTTTCAGTGGCTCTAACACCCTCTTCAGGCCTCCATGGGCATTGCAGGCACATGGTACTCATACCTATCTTCAGGTAGGACACCCATACATATGGGATAAATAAATAAGTAAATAAATCATTCTGTTAAGTGGAAAGAAATAAAGAGGAAAGGAAATAAAGGAACGGAACTTACCTGATGCCGGAGTGACGGCAATTGCCCGGCCTGACGTAGGGAGACCTTCCCCAGAAAGACCTCTCTTCTCCCTGTGCCTCAGGAAGGACATGGCAAGAGTGTTGTAATCTTACCCACAATGGAAAGTTCCAGAAAGGGGAGTCTGAAATTTGAGCATGACTTTTTTCCCTGGCTGCTTTTGCTCTTGCCAGGAGTGCGACATTTGGGGACCATCAATACAGACTGCTCATCCCCATCTTTCACCCCCCCCCCCACCCTGAGAACTGGGCATCCCACCTGTGGCACCTGCCTGGGGGCTTCACCCTAGTCCCATTGGGCCTCAGCTTTTCTCTCCCAGCCTCAGGGATCCCAGGGTGTGGAAGCTCACTGCCCCAGTACACCCCAGTCTTAGGGACCAGTCTCCCTAGGTCCTCCCTCGCTAGCTTCCAACACATCTTCCTCTTAGACGTAAAAGTCTTGTCAACAGGAGATGTCTTGGAGTCCTGACCCCAGGACTGAGAACAGGACGAGTGCAGGTGATTTGGTCACGGTCGTTAGGTGCACTCTGAATGACTGTTGACTCTCAGAAACAGCCGCACGGAGAAGGAACACACAGGAAGAAGACGAGGTGGGGATGATGGAGCCACAGGCCCGGTGTATAAGATATCTCAGTGCTGTCTTTAAGGATGGAAGGGTTTATCTGGCTCGCGGTTTGAGAATCCAGTCCGTCATGGTGGGGCACACACGGCAGCAGGAGAGCGGGGCAGCTGTCGCTTTGTATCTGCAGTCAGGAACCAAAGAGAGATGAACGCTGGTACACAGCGTCCGGGACTTTGGCCCACGGATTGCCGCCCACATTCAGGCTGAGTTTTCCTACCTCCGTTAATCTAGTCTAGAAACTCTCTCTCAGACATACCCAGGGGTTTGTCTCCTGGATGACCAAGATAGCCAATATTCACCACCACACAGAGACAGACCGTGGAGTACTGCGCGCTCGGGAGAAGTCCAGGATTCTCCTTCACTGTCTTCACTCTGACTCTGAAGCCCCACCACACCCACCTGTGCAGGGCTGTGAGTTTAACCCTAGCAAACAGCTGAATGCCCCTCCATCTAGATGAATTTGAGGTTGGGATCCACAGGCCACACCTTTCACAAGCTCAGGGCGGTGGGGGGGTGATGGTTTTTTAATGCAAGGGAAGGAGTCAGGGTTTCTCAGGAGCCGCGGACAAGTCACCCTAACTCTAGTCAACCGATCTTCATCTCTCATCTCTCCCCAGTCACCTCCTTCTCTTCTTCCTCTTCCTCTTCTTCTCCCTCCTCCTCCTCCTTCTCCTTCTCCCCCTCCTCCTCCTCCTCCTTCTTTTTTAAGACAGGGTTTCTATGTGTAACTCTGACTGTCCTGGAACTCACTCTGTAGATGTAGCCCAGGCTGGCCTTGAACTCGCAAAGATCCTTCTGCCTCTGCCTCCCAAGTGCAGTGATTAAAGGCGTGCCCCACCTCGCCTGGCTGTTCACCTCTTCATTTGTCCCTCACTCTGTCCATTCGTTTTCCTGTCCCCATCATACATGCCGGCCACTATTCTAGGTCTTAGGCCCACAGCAGGGGACTGAATAAGACAAGAAAGAGTCTGGCTCAGGTGGAAGTAGAGGCCATCAGTCGTCAACAGAGCTGAAACCATAAAAACCGTGTGGTGACGAGAGCCGCCATGCTGGGTAAAGGTACAAGACCATCAGTCTTATTTCCTGCTGAGCTCTGACCCCAGTGTGCTTGAAAGCTGGGCCCAATGAGGCCAGTTTGGCTCAAGTTAAGCCTGGAACGACTTTACAAGCTGTTAAGTGTGTGTTGTCCTAGAAGTGGTTTATCGACTGACTGTGGGTATCAATGTCTTCCTCCTCTGAAGGGCTCCCTGGCTGTGCTGGCTTGATTTCCTGGATGAAGACCAAGAAATGACCGTAGCGGAGGAGGGAGAGGCCTGGGCGGTCTGCTGGAGGATTAGGTCCTGTGTACTGCTGAGACAGTGTACTCAAGTCCTTGCGGCCTTGCCAGCTCTGGGACCCCGTGCACTGGGCAGGGCAGTGCACTCAGGGCCTGAGTCCTGCAGCAGCAGCAGCCATGCAGGGAGCTTGTAAGAGCTGCAGGCTCTGACCACATCCAGACGACCAAATCAGGAATTCTGGGGGCTCGTCCAGTGTTCCATTTCTGCACCCTCCTCCAGGGGAAGGAAGATGGCTCTGGAGGCTGAGGACACCAGCAATCAGAAGCACTGGTTGGGGACAAGCAGACATGCTTGAGAATTAGCCTCTGGCTTACTGAGGCTTAGTTCTCTTTAATAAAGGGGTAAAAATAGCCCCAAATCTCAGTAATAACTTCTAAAATTTGTGAAGATGGCGTTTGGTAATGCATGTAGCGTACTGCGGCCCTGGAGCAAGAGCTAGTTACAGGTTTTGTTTTGTTTTTTAAGTGAATGACCTTCTCTATCTACAGTGCCGGATACTCCAGAGCTTAAGGCTTCTGGGTAAATGGTGCTTTGTTCATGGGACAGAACTTGTGAGGCCAAATGCTCCTTGGCTCCCAGCCTTCTGGACACGAGGGTTTGTGGGACAAAGGTTGTCAGGAATCTGGACTTCACCTTGGTTCAGGAACAGCAGCCTGCGAGTTAAGTTACACAAGCAATCGGCCACCTGATGCCAGAAACAGAGCCTGCCTGCTCTGAACACGGAAGGGCGTGGGTGGGCAAGGTGGGAGGAGGAGAGGGACTCTAAGGGCCAAGTGATAAACAGGTGCCTGTGAAGGAGAAGCAGGAATAGTGCGAACGTAATCTGAATGCCTTCTGTTGTCTCGCTGAAGGGCCCTTTAAGCATCCCAACGTGTCTGTTCAAATAAAAGATTGCTTTACACTGTAACAAGGCCTCTCAGCTTGAATCGGCTCTGCTACTGCTGGAAACAACTGCCCCAGCAGGTCAGACAGGCCAAGGGAGATTTGCAGACCCAATGAGCTCATTTCCAGAACTTGTATGCCCTGACCTCTGCCAGTAACTTTCAGGGGGTGATACTGGAGGGAACCTCCCCTGTCCTTAAGACTTCTGGGGGAGGGGAGAGATGGAGGGCAGTCTGCCTCAGCAGTCAGTCTGCAATCTCCTCCTACACAGGGGCCAGGCACAACCCTCACAGAGGGTGCCCGTGCAGGGTTTGCTCACCTTCTTCCAAGAATTCCCCCAGGCAGAGGTGACTGACTCATTGGTCTGTTTTCCCACAGGCAAACACAAAAAAGAGGCAAGTTTTCCCACAGGGAGAGACACAGGGCACTCTGGACCCTGCATTCTAGGATGAGGACCTGGCCAGGAAGGGATGGAGTGGCCCCCTGGGGTCCTGGGCCCAAGTGCATCCCTCAGAACACCTTCCTGGTTAGGCTTAGCAGGCTCCCCTGTGAAGTCGGCTGGATCTCTGCACAGATAACCAGCAGTGGGGCTTCCCTAGAGTGCTCATCTGCTCTCCCCATGACGGAGGAAGCCAGCATCCCAACAAGCGGTGTGCCGAGCAGAGGGGAAGGAAAGCTCCTGTTCTTGCAGAACTATCATTTTAGCCACACGTTCTGCAGTTACTCTGGCTTGTTCTACTTCACTCTCGGGATTCTTGAAAGCCGCCTAGAGCTCTTATGAAGCAGGTAGACTTCTTGAATGATATGAGAGTCTGGTCTGTATCGTGAAGAGGTGGGGTGTGACCTGTGACTGTGTAGAGGAAATCACCGTCCGTGCCAGTCACGGGAAGTTAGGGTGTTGGTGGTTTGTCAGCCTGTAGGGGCAGCTCCAGAAACACCTGCTGTACCTGTTTGGAAGAGGGTCAGATGTCACCTAGGGACAGCTCTTTCTCCCTGCACCACCAAGGGAGAAGATGTGTGTGCTCTCACCTTAGCAGCCCAGTCCCTCTCATCATGGCCCCTTGTTGCTCCACCTTACACAGCTCCTGACACCTTCTGCAGGTCCCAGGCTTCTAAGGCACCCAGCCTCCCCTGCCCGACTGCGGCTTCCTCTCCCTTCCTTCCCACAAACATTCCCCAGCACGTATCCCTGTCTCCCACAGAAAGCCAGGCCTGTGGGGGCTGCAAATACGATTGCAGCCATGCTGGACCCCCCCCCCTCCGTGGGATGTCATGAAGGACCAGTGGCCTCAACAGCCACATAACTTCTACTCAGCCTCGGCATGGAGCAAATCCCTTATATCCTCAGGGGACTAGCTCCAGGACTGCCTCACCAAGCCCTGCGTCCCTCACAAACATCGGCACCCACATACACTGCACATTCCCTACGCACTTCCTGCATATGTCAATCTTCTCTGGACTTCTTAGGATGCCTGTGCAGAGTAAATCTCTGCTAATGGTGCAGGGAGCAGTCATAAGAAAGAAGCTGGTCCGGGTGTAACATACTACAGATCAACGTGTAACACGTAAAAGAGTTTCTGTGTAGGGCTGGCTGAATCTTTAGGTCACACCCCACATCTTCACAATATAGGCCAGACTCTCATTCAAGAAGTCTACCTGCTTCATAAGAGCTCTAGGCGGCTTTCAAAAATCCCGAGAGTGAAGTAGAACAAGCCAGAGTAACTGCGGAACATGTGTGGCTAAGTGATAGTTTTGCAGGAATGGAAGCAACACATCTTAAACAAATATTCCATGACCATGCTGAGTCAGCACAGGTGCCCACATACTTGAGTGTGCTCTCCCTGATTCTAGGTGCTTGGGGGAAAAAATCTCTTTTATGCTTGGTTGTTTCTAGGATATCTTGTAGGGAGTTTTTTGAGAAAGGGTTACAACTAGGTAGTCCAGGCTGGCCTTGAACTCACAGTCCACCTGCCTCAGTCCTTCCGAGAACAGGGATTACAGGTGTGCATTTTAGAGGCACAAAGAACATCACAATGCTGTATGAGCCACCTGTCTATAGGTGTCTTGCAAAAAAAGGAAACCTGGGAAATGCTGACACACACCTCAGTAGGCATGAACTTCAAGGAATTATGTAAAATAAGCCAGACACAAAAGGAAAAATGAGGAATGTGGCCAACCTTCCAGAGTGTTTGTCTGATATGCACAGTACCAGAGTATAGGCAGAGGCCACCCGGACCTGAAATAATAACACAGAAACTGGATTAATTACAACACTACTGGCCAATTAGCTCATGCATATTTCTAGCTCACTCTTACATCTTGAATTAACCCATTTCTATTATTCTGTCTATTGCCACAAGGCTCATGATATACTAGTAAGGTTCTCTGGCGTCTGTCTCCTTTGGCAGCTACCTAGTGTCTCCTTGACTCTGCCTACTTTTCTCCTCTGTCTCTGCTTGGAATTCCCACCTTGCTCTATTCTGCGCTGCAATAGGCCCAAAGCAGATTTTTTATTAACCAATGATAAGAAAACATAGCAGACAGAGGGGAATTCCACATCACCGTGGTTTAATTCCTAGCATGGCAAAACGAAAGGTGGTGGTGCTAACCTGTAATCCCAAGGTCATCCTTGGCTATATGGTAAATTCAAGGCCAGCCTGGGATATGTAAGACCCTGGGTTAATAAAAAGAAATGACAGACAGATAAACATATGATGTCACTCATAGGAGGTATCTAGATTTATCAAATTCTTGGAAATAGACCAGAAGGGTGATTGCCAGAGCAGAGACATGAGAGATAGAGACCACCGTGGGTAGAGCTTCTGTATTGGAAGATGGAAAAGAGCTGCGTATTGGACCATAGAGTGGACACACTTGTTACTGACTGTAGCTCCGTGGCGGAGTTCTTGGCTGGTGTGTGTGAGATGTGAGACCAGGAACCCCACTCTCACAACACCTTTTTTTATTCCTCATCTGTGAAACAGAAATCATAAAGCCCCCCACGAGCACGTGGTGAGGGCTTGCTGGGTCAGCTGCTGCACAAGAAGGCGCCGTTTATCTGTTGAGTTCGGAAAGGGGTGCAACTGCGAAGTGATTTGTGGATTTGGTCGTGTGTAAGAGTCTCCAGGTGGTGCTGGTTTTGAAGGCCTGAAGGGTCAAGGAGAGCAGCTGAGGCTTGGCGCCATGGGGGAGTGTTAGAGTCCCTGAAGAGAGTCCAGGAGTGGCTGGTGGTAAAATACAGCCCAACTGTAGTGCAGACCGCAGTGCTTTGGAAATGCCATGGGATGATTGTCAAGGATGCCACAGCTGTGGAGTGGGGCTGGCCTGCGGGCATGCTGTGAGCGCATGGCAAGCTCTGGGGTCTGGAAGGTGGAGGCTGGTGCTTAGGTTTATACTGTTGGGCTTTGGTTTGCCTGGTCTGGAAGTAACTGGGTCCTGGTTCGTCCCTCTGGGAGTCAGAAAGTATGTATCTTATTTTTGATCATGAGGAACCCAAATGTAGAGACTTTGGAATCTTAGATTTTAGATATTTTAAAGATACTGAACTTTTCAAGTGTTTGAATTTTTTAAAGACTATGGGACTTGAACAAGTTAGAAAGTTTTTTATTGTGATATCAATATTAATACACTATCTTGGGGGTGAACAGGAAGGGTCATGGCTTAGTAAGTATGTGTTCGTGTGTCAGTGACAAGGGGTCAAGTGGGTTGGTTTGTTTTTGTCAACTTGACACAAATCTAGACATCTAGGAAGAGGGATTCTTGAGAGATGTCTCTGTGAGACTGGCCTGTAGGCAAGGCTGAGGGTCACTGCCTTGATTGAGGATTGATGAGGGAGGGCCCAGATCACTGAGAAGCGCTAACCCTGGTTAGATAGATGGTCCTGTACAAAAAAGCAAATTGAACAAGTCACAAGAGGAAGACAACGAGCAGCCCTTCCTCACAGCTCTGCTTCAGTTCTCACATCCAGTTCCTGTCCTGATGTCCCCCGGTGATGGAGCATGGCTTGGAAGTCGTGAGCAGAAATAAGCCCTATCCTCCGCAAATTAGTCATGGTGTAGACGGAAGTTTCTGTTCCACCAGGTCCCACAGCGTTCAGTCCCAAATAAACACACAGAGGTTTATATTACTATAAACTGTTTGGCCTATTGTTTAGGCTTATTAGTAACTACCTCTTACAACTTAAATTAACCCATAATTCTTATCTATGTTTAGCCATGTGGCTTGGTACTTTTTCTCGGTGCGCCATTCTCATCTTGCTTCCTCAGCTTCTGGATGACAACTGACTCTCTGCCTTTCCTCTTCCCAGAATTCTCCTAGTCTGGTCGCCCCACGTGTCCTTCCTGCCTGGTGTGGACAGGATAGAGTCTGAGGGTCCATCTAGGCTTCAGGGTGGGTGCGGATGGGGGTTCTAGGGCTGCCTGGGACGGAGAACCAGAAGCATATTGATCCCAGGTCCACCCACCACTTCCAGTGTGCATGAATGACCACACCGCCAATTCTGGGAACACTGAAGGCATTAACCTTCGTTTTAGCTTCTCCTCCGCGGCTGTGCTGAGAGGTGTGGCTGATACACGTATTTAAAATGCACGCTCTGAGACGTCTTGACCTCTGAATCCTTGAAGCTGGTACTAGACAGAATCTGAGTTTTTCCTTGCCTCCTCCCTAACTCATAACCTCAGGCCACTGATCTGCCTTTCCACACTGGAGACTCACTCTATAGAACACTGTGCCTAAGCAGCGATACACGACAAACTCTTTTTTGGCTGGCATGATTCTTCTGAGATTCATCCAAGCAATGTTTGTCCGCATATTTATTTTCCCACTATGTTAGCAGGTCATAGCTTGTCCATTCAATGAAGGTGGACATGCAGGCTGTTTGTGTCTGGTGCCATTCTGGATAAAGCCTCTCTGAGTCCTTGTGTCCGAGTCTTTGAATAACCATGGGCTCACTTCTCTGGGACAAACCCCTCCGTGTGCAAGAGCTGAGCCATCTGGCGGGTGTGATTGTTTTAGTCCCTAAATATTGAAGACAGTTCAGCTGAACTTTCTACCCGTGCCCTGTCTGCCCCAAGAAAGATGTAACCCCTCCTTCCCTTCCTGGGGATGGGGGTATTAGCTCAGAGAGCACCCACAGATTTTATATGTGTATATGGGATAGCCCAACAATGGTTGTGGCATGACAGAAAGGCTGCTGGAGCCCTCAAGGATTCCTGTAGAGCTGCTGGTTTGCACTGGAATCCTGAAGAAATTGGGTTTATCACTGGTCACAGCCCAGGATAGATGACCCTGCCAGCGAGAATGAAGAGCAAAGCCTGGACAAGCAGGCACAGAGAAGAGTCTCCTTCCATGTCCTTTTATCTGGGCTGTGCCAGAAGGTGTGGGTCTTCCTATTTCAGATAATCTAATTAAGACAATCCCTCACAGGCGTTGACAAGCCAGATGAGCCCCAGGGAGGCCCGAGACGGCTGCGGCAGACTGGGAGCCACAGGGAGGCCCGAAACGGCTGCCGCAGACTGGCTTCATTAGGGTCTTCCTTGGAGCTTTTCTGTCCTCACAGGCCTTCACACTGCTTCCTCCTTTGTCTTGTTCCTCCTGACATTGCGCAACGATGTCACCCACAAGTGTACTGGGCTGCGGAACCCACAGGGCAGCAGACTGAGGGTCTAAAACTTCCTCTGTTAAAACGTCTCTTAGGCAACTTTCCCGTGCACTGCTGAGAGAAAATTTTTCTTGAGGTGGAGTTGCTTTTCCCATATGCTGTGTGTGAAAAATTGCTTTTCATGGGTGGGATGGGAGAGAGGGGTGGGGAATGAGGTCAAGTGACTGGGTGCTCTGTGTCCCTGCCAGCCTCAGCATCACTGGCTTAGACATGGGTGTTCTAATCAGCCTGTGTTAGTGCCCTGTGGTTTTGATTTGCATTTCCCTGACAACTTGAGCTTCTGATTTCCGTGGCTTGTCTTGTTTAGTTAAGAGGTTACTAAAACCTTTTTGCCTGGGGCTAAAGCGGTGACTCAGCTGTTAAAAGCTCTTGTTTCTCTTGCAGAGGACCCAATTTTGGTCCTCAGCACCCATATCTAGCAGTTTACAATCCTGTTAACTCCAGCCCTCGGGGATCTGACACCTTTTTCTGGCCTCCTTGGATGCCATACTCATGTGCGCACTCACAGGCATACACATATATGTTATATGTTTTAATGTGTTATTTAAAAAGAAAAACTAGGCAAGGTGGTACCCACCTGTAATCTCATCACTTGGGAGGCGGAGACAGGCAGAGCTCTGTGAGCTTGAGATCTCAGCTGTGGCTACACAGTGAGCCCCTGCCTCAAGTAAATAAATTCATAAATAATAGCCAAATTTAAAAATAAACTAAAATCTTTTTGCTGACTTTAAATGGTTAATTACTTACTATTGAGCTGGAGAGGTTTTTTAATACAATCAAAACGTAACTTTTCATTCCACCTCTTCATCTGTGAGTTGTATTTTCATTCTCTCAGCAGTGACTCAGAAAAAAGAGACTTTTTAAAAAAATTATTAAGTGTATTTATTTTCCATCCTAACTGTAGTTTCTCCTCCCTCTTCTTGTTACCCCCACCCCTCCCCACCTTTCCTCTGCCTACCATCCCCCATTCACTCCAGCTCAGCTTCTGTTCAGAAAAGGGCAGGTCTCCCAGGGGTGACAAAACATGGCCTATCAAGTTGCAGTAAGACCAACACCTCCCCGTGTATTAAGACTGGGCAAGGTGACCCAGTATGAGGAGTAGGGTCTCAAAAACCAGTAAACGAGTCAGAGACAGCCCAGTTCCCATGGTTAGGAGTTCCACATGTAGACCTAGCTACACAACTGTCACACACATGTAGAGGGCCTGGGTCAGTCCCATGCAATTTCTCTGGTTGTTGGTTCAGTCTCAGTGAGCACCTATGAGTCCTGGTTAGTTGATTCTGTGAGTTTTCTTGTGGTGTCCTTGACCCCTCTGACTCCTGCAATCCTTTCTCCCCCGAACAGAGACTTCTTAGTTAGGTTGTTAAGGTTTGAAATTGCATGGCTGGTGCTTTGGCATCAGAACTAAGAAATCTTGACTTAACAGAAGGAAGCCAGGTTTTCTGTGCCAGTGGCCATGTAAAGACACAGCAGTAGCCAGAGACAATTCTGGGGCGGATGCTCAGAGCCTTGCCTCTCTGAGATTCACCCATCAGTGCCTTGATGCTGGGGGGCCGATCTCCTGAAGACAATTGCCACCTGCTGCTCCTCTGACATGGCCACCAGCAGTTCTGGAAGGTTATTTTATGGCTTTTGTTGTTGTTTCGTTTTTTTTAAGACCGGGTTTTTCTGTGTAGCCTCGGCTGGTCCGGAACTCACTTGGTAGACCAGGCTGGCCTCAAACTCACAGAGATCTGCCTGCCTCTGCCTACTGAGTTTTGGGATTAAAGGTGTGCGCCACCACTGCCCGGCTCATGGTTTTGTTTTCATCCTTAATATTTTGTTTTGCTTTTTTCATGTTTGTTTGCACCATGACTGACATGGTATTCACTTCGTAGCTCAGGCTGGCCTTGAACTCTGTGAAATCCTGCCTTAACTTCCTTGCGCCTGGTTAGCCGTGTGTACCTCCAGGCCCAGCCCCAACTTTGGCTCTGCACTCACTGTCTTCCCTTTGTTTTGTTTTTGGGTGTTAGTTTATTTGTGTGAGACAGGGGCTAGCTGTGTAACCCACAGTTGACCTTGAATTTATGATTCTCCAGTTTCTGACTCCCGAGTGTCAGGGTTCCAGGGCTGTGCCACATCTCCCACTATGTTTAGGTTCTGGTCCATTTTGAGTTTGTTTTGTTTCTGTCAGATGCTGTGGAAGAGCATGTGTTTATCAGCCTGTGTGTCCTTTGCTGCTCCCTCTGTCCATAACCTTCTGTGCTGACTTGTACTTGAACCTTTGTGAACACTGGGTTGTACTTTGTCACTTCATCTCTGTCGCCACGGTGGCAGATTTCCACAAGCTTGGTGGCCTAAGAAACGGGCCTCCTTTCTCTGCTAGTTTCAGAGCCAGGACTGTGAAGGCTGCCCAGGCTCCTGGCGGGAATGCCGCCCTCTTTCACGGCGCCCCTATAGTTGATCAGAGTCCGCCTTTGAGCAGCTGAGCAGAGCCTACCTAGGCCTTGCTCCACGACAGGCGTGCATTTCATGAAGACAGAACCAGCGTGGCTTGAAGTCATATGACCAGCCTGGGGATGAGCGCGCAGAGGGGAAGGCACCATCAGTCCTGCTGGAAAGACGTGGCACATCACGGACAGCTGCAAGAGGTGGAAGTGAGGTGTGGTGCACACTTATTTAATTCCAGCATGGGGGAGGTGGAGACAGTGCCTCCCTGCAGCTCTCTGGCCAGCCAGCCTAACCTATTTGACAAACTCCAGGTCAATGAGAGACCATATCTTAACAGCAACAAAAGGTAGATGGTATTTCTTGGCTGGCCCCTGACCTCTACATGTATGAACATGTACTCCTACATGTGAAGTATCTCTCTCTCTCTCTCTCTCACACACACACATACACACACACACACACACACACACACACACACACACTTTCGCAACACAGCTGTCTGCAATACTGTGAGTCAAAGTGCAGTGGCTGGAAGCCTGAACAAACCTGTGAGCTGCCTCAGATAAGCAAAGTCGAAGGAACCGGGGACACTGACCCTGAGTCGCCACTCATCTCTCCCCGCCCCTTCTAGACAGTAGCCCAGGACTTAGCCGGACAGGCAAGCAAGACCCTGCAGCCACTGCCTTTCACAGCAACCCCAGGGTGTGGTGAGACACCTAGCAGGCATTAAGTCAGTTCTTAAGGCAAAGCTCTGCACTGGAGACTAGGGAGGCCTCAGGGGAGTGAGGCAACCTGGGTACTAGCCTTGGGCGAGGTCTCTACAGCAGCCTCCTGCTCATGGCTTGCTTGTACTTTGTTATCATCATTATCAATTACAGTGCTAGGACCACTGTGTGTGGATGCCTCCCTCCCCGTGTGTGTGTCTGTGTGTGTGTGTGTGTGTGTGTGTGTGTGTGTGTTCTGTCTGGCCAGGAGTTCCCTGAGGGCAGGTTCAGGTCCCCCAAGGCAGACTGAATATCTTTCTAGAGATAGGGCTAGTGATTTCTCAGCTGGCTCTCTATCCACCGGTCATTCCTTCCTCTCTGAAGATCTTTTGGGAACCCCTAAACAGGGCTTTCCACATTGGGCTGCAACGAACCTTCTAGACTCTGGGTCTCAATCTGTGGCAAGCTCTGAGTCCTGCTCAATCCCAGCTGTAGCACCCAAGGGTCAAGTCCTCTCGGGTTTCGGGGAGTATCAGAATCACTAGGGAACTAGTGAGAACCTGAGATTTCCTCAATAATTCATACCCGTTCCCCTCCTTCTGCAGTATCACATGGCGGTGAACAACAGGAGTGAACATTATCCCGAGGTAACCCTATCTCCCGGGTCATTACCAGTAACTCTCAACATGATCTCAAGGTTACCTTGGACTCTGGCCAGCACCCTGGGAGAGCCGACCTAGCTGAAGGCCAGTGACCTGGAAGGCCAAAAATAAGCTAGCCATGAGCTCCACTGGGGAGAGGGAATAAACAAGCAAAAGAAACCAGAGGCCTGGGAGTTGTGATACAGTGGCCTGCGTGGTGCACCCACTAGCTCGGGGACGCTAGACGAATAAAATTCGGGTGCCCCTTCCCGCTGTGCCTCTGGTCTTGTCTACACAAGGGCCATTGTTGGTAATTCCTGTTGCCTTTTCTTCTATGGGTTCCTGCCTGCCCTGTCCCACAGTCTGGGTTCTCTTGCCTTTTAACCCCTTCTCTGTTTTCTCAAAACACACTCAAGCTCTGGATTCTTAGGGTAAGTCCCCTGCCCCCAGTCAATACATACCTCTGTCCTTTCCTCTTGGAAGACTCCCTGGAGAGGACCAGGTGTACAGCTTGTCTCCACATCTCCCAGTATCTGCAGCCTCAACTGGTGATAGTCAGACCCAAAACACCCACGAAAGGCAAACTGGGGGCCCCACACCTTCCCTCAGCCAAGAGTGCTGTAGTCCAGCGAGGGGAAAAAGAGAACAGGAGCTCCCCTCTGGATCATAAGGGACATAGACCGATAGTTTCTGGCACAACAGAGATGTGTCCAGGTTTGTGGGGGAACCAAGGAAAACATCAACCGGGGAAGGAGAAAGTGCTAGAGAGGGAAGGTTTTCTGGAGGCAGTGGGCTGGAGCTGGGCTTAGAGGGTATATAGGAGGAGGGAAAGGCAGCTGGGATTTGGGGTAGTGGTAGTGGGACTCCTCTCTTCTGGTGTCATCTCCGCTCCTCTGGCAAACCATCCTGAATGAGCAACTTTGGGAAGGAAAGGGTTTATTTGGGTTACACGTCCAGTTACCTCCCTCATGGAGGGTGTTCAGCAAGGAACAAAGAGAAAGGCCTGCTTGCTGTTCCGCGCAGCATCACCTCTGACCAACTGGACTCCCTTCGCAGACAAAGGGACAAGAGGAGCTATGGAGGAGCTGCTGGCTGGCAGTCAGGCGTATGCTCAGCTGCCTTTCCCAGAGAGTTTGGGGCCTGCCTGGGGAATGTGCCACCCAGAGTAGGCTGGGCCCGTCTACCCCAGCTGACAGTCAGGATAGTCCCTGCCCTCAGACGCGCTCACATTCTGAGAGGGAATTCCTTGACTGAAATTCTCTTTCCAGGTAATTCTAGGTTTTGTCAAGTTGACAGCTAAGGCTAACTAACCAGGACACATTTTTTTTTTGAGACAATTCCTCAATATAGTCAAGGCTGGCCTTGAACTCATTATGTAGCTGAAGATAACTCTGACCTAGTCTTCCCACCTCCACCTCCCAAGGGCTGGGATTGCAGGCTTGTGCCACCGTGGTTGGTTTGTTCCCTAAGAAGACAAAGCTCTCCCAGGATCTTCAGATGAAGCCATCCTGTGCTCAGGACTCTTAATCCAGTGACCAGTGTCCTAAGAAGAGAGGGCTCAGACAGACTTGGGAAGAAAGGTGACTGAAGGTAAACAGAGAGCGGCACACCAGGACCTCGGCGAGTCCCCAGAAACAAGGGGAGAGGAGCCAGTCTCATTAACACCATGATGTAGGACTTCTGGCATCCAAATTCCTGTTAATACCTTTCTGCTGTTTGAAGCAGCCCTGTTTGGATCAATTGATTATGGCAGCCCCAGGAAATGAATATATTAGGTAAGATGGGATAAAAAAAAAAATACCCAGAGTCATGGATGTCATTATAAGCAGCTCGGCAGTTACATGGACCTAACCTGTGCTAGCATCTATCCGTCCTGTTCTGGAACCTAGGAATGTTAGGCTGCACCCTCCACGGGGGATCACCAGGGGGGCATTTCACACAACAAAATCGCAGTGAGCGTCCAACCAGCAGCCACCCACCCTGTGCACCAGAAGCCCAGAGGCCCTCAGTGAACAAAGGCTGGACGTTAGTGAGAATTCCCTACCTGCTTAGCTACTGTGTATCGAGCATGTGCCTCCAGGTTGGGCGTTAGTGAGAGCTCCATACTGCTTAGCTACTGTGTATCGGGCAAGTGCCTCCCGACTGGTCACTGTTCCAAGCACGCTGGGAGTGTTCTGTGTGCCTGCTCCTCTTTGACACATCCGTAGTGGGGACAGCAGTGAGTTCGTGGCTTAGCTTGAGTCAGTAACCAAGTGGTCTTAGTCAATGCACTAACCACCCTGTCCTGACTTCCTGGGCATGGCTACAGTCAGCGACATGGGATGCCACCCTACTGTTCGTGGTCCTGTCTAAGGATCACGACAGACTCTGATAACCCACCATCTCTAGTCCACGTCCTTGAACCAGCCACTGCTTTGGTCTCCTTCACTAGATGGACATCCTCGGTAGCAAAAATCTTATATTAGAGATGGAACACGAAGCAGGCGACACGGAGCTTGGGTGATTAATGTCAAGTCCTGTCTTGGAAGTGGCAGACTACTCAGGAGAAGCTGTATTCCCATCAGATTCCGTGAACAGAGCTGGGGTGAAGGGTTCTCCACAGCTCAAGGCCAGCCTAGGCTCCATAGGGAATTCTAGGCTAGCCTCTGCTACAGCAAGGCATTGTTGTAGCAAACATACACAAGAGCAAGAGGAAAGGGCTCAACTTTTTCAGGAACCTCTAACCCACTCCCACAGTGACTAAGCCCTGTGACCCCTTCACAGGTCCTCCTCTCCATATTATCAATCCGGGTGGATTTTCCAGTGTGCAGACTCGGAGGATACGGGGACTTCCCTACCCTGTCAGATGTCCTAGAAAACATCTCGGGATCTCATCTCAGGTCCAAGCCAATACTAGGCCTGGTAGATGAATAGATGGTGCCAAACCCAGCGAGAAAGCTTATTTTTCTAAGGGGTAGGTTATGTTACTGGTGACCACTGGACTCACCCTTGTGTTTGCACATTCCCGCCTGGATGACCCTCTGAGAATCCAGCAGGCAGACAGCAGGCATAAGAACCCTGTCTGCCAGAGAAGTCCCATGTTCAGAAAAATCCAAGTATCTTCCCTAGGACTTGGAGCTCCTACAACATGAACCTGGAAGAGGAATTTCTGGCTGTGACTCGGGATCAAGTGTCCCCACCACTCACAATCAGCTTCTTCCAGCAGTCCAGATTCCAGACAGTTTGTCGATCTGTGGATGTTCCGGGAGTAGAGCCTGGGGATGCAGCGAAGGCTGAGAAGTGGGATCCACACTTCAAGCTCATTTACTTGTGGCTGCTCCTCTCACAGGCTTTTCATGAGGTGAACCTGCAGATGCGAAGCTGGCTGTCTCGGGCATGTACCCTAGAGTGCTGGTTTCCTTAGCCTGGCTCTTTTCTCACAGATAATGATGCTCGCAGGCTTGCTCCTCTGCTCTGGGCCGGGCAACCCGCCAACCAGTTCCTCAGAACAATGTCAGAAGCAGCCAGAGTGTAGGAAGTGTTTTCTAAGAAATGTGGCCAAAGGAGAGAGCCTTGAGGCGGGAGAGAGCTTGGCACGCTGTGTAAGCAGGCTGCTGAGAGCAAGTCAGGCACCAAGAGCAGCCGGAGGGGAAGAATGGGTTAGAAGAGTTGATCTTCTGCCAACCCAAAGCTCATCACCCTCTTCGGGAAACCTCAGAGGGTGACCCCTCCCCCAGTCCCTCAACTCAGTGAGGACTCAGTTAGGAGCTAGACAAATTCCTGACTGGCAGACAGATAGATAAAAAAGATGGTTCTGGGCTGTGATGGTGCATGGTTTTAATTCCAGCACTTGGGTGGAAGAGGCAAGGGGATCTCTAATTTTGAGGCCAGCCTGGAATACAGAGTGAGTTCCAGGACAGCCAGGGCTGCACAGAGAAACTCTATCTCAAAAAACAAAACAAACAAGCAGAAAAGATGGCATATTTCTGGCTTTCTCTTCTTCCTGGCCTGAGACAAAGGCCTGGCAGGCTTTCTCTCCCATCAGCATCCACCCCCACCCCCATTCCAGCTGACTGATCCAGGCTGGTCAGTATGTTCAGGGCTAGTCCCAAACACCTTCACAAGGAGCCGTGGGCACGTCAGCTTCTCTTCCTTTGCTTAACTTGACTGGCCAAAATTAGGGGATGGTCCAACCTTTCGGGGGAAATAGACCTCATCCCCTCTGCTTTGGGGAGTGTTTCTGTACACTCTGCCCTCTCTGTGTGTGTGTGCTTCACTGTATGTGTGCTTTGCTTTGTTGTGTGTGCACGTGCAAGCTTCTTCACCTGTGAGTTTACTACTTGTTGTAACCTGCTTTGTATGAGGTTTTTCCTGCCTTTTAATTCTTTAATTGACAAAGAAAACGAACCCTAAGAAAACCCCGTAACAATGCTCTGCTCTGTCCTCAGCAGCTGTAATGGTGACACACACAGCCTGTGCGTTTTCTCTCTCTTTTCAGTAAACATACTAGGTACACAACAGCCTACTGGTCCCACCCCACTGCTCCACTCTTCAGCTTCTGTGTTGGTCCTTGTAGCACAGGGGTGGGAGAGAGGAACCATTAGATCTTGTGACCTCTGCCCACATTCTGTTGGGAGGCTATACCCAGATACTCAGAGGCCCTGGCTATATATAGTGTATATATATACACTATATATGTTACTATAAGTATATACATACATACACTATATATACTATATATATAGTTTATATAAGAAGCATATATATTATTCCTCTTAGTGCTGCCATATTCCCTTGACGCTCCACTTTGACAACAGGTGAAGTCCCAAGGGACCCACTTTGCACGGCTTCAGACATATGTGCTTTGAACCTTGAAGCTTCTGCCATTCCAGGGGAACCTTTTGCACCCATTTGGGGGACAGATAGAAGCTTCTAGGTACTCTGTGTCGTGGGGCCATTCAGGAGCCTTTAGAGTTGAGCATTTTGTTCTTGCCCCTACTTATTCATTGCAGGGGAGGAGCGTCAGAGAGCAAACATTGAGATCTCCTCAAGTGATCACCACGCCCTCCTCTTGCCTCCTTGGAGGCTGGGCTCCCTACTTCAGAGGTCTGACTTCTCACCCAGGGACCAAATTTCCTCCTTGGTGGTCCTTATGGCAGGACTTAGATATATATATTTGTATTATTTTAATTAAATTTTTATACAATATATTTCGATCATGTTTTCCTCTCCCCAACTCTCCCCAGAGCCCCTCCATCTCCCTACTACCTGACTTCATGTTCCCGCTTTCT